GAAACCTGTGCTCGGATTACTGATGATGAAGCTGAGTTTTGGACGGTGAATATTCAATAGAAAATTTTCTCTTTTATTTATCATTGATTATTCCATTTAGAGTGTATCACCTATAGAACAAAATCATATATCTTATCACGTGTCGACATCAAAAGATTTGTCTTCCGATATTTTTTCATCTGATGGTCTTTATTTCAAAACGAATAATCAATTAGATACAGAAATGCAAGAGCACTTGTCATCATTATATAAACAAGCAATCGAGAAACAAGAGAAAGTAATTGAAGACAAACTCGAAAACAATCAAATATTTGACATATTCCAATTAAATGAAAATAGTAATCTCAGTGAAAATACTCCTCAAGAACCCATCGGTTTTCTTGGTCGATTATATCATCAATTAACAAGATCACCAGACTCGGAAATCGATTATTTAGATGATGAACCCTTTACCAATATTGATGAAAGTGAAATAATAGTCGCCATCAATGATAATACGAATGTTGATACATCAAGCAATGTTGAAAATAAAGTTACTGATAATACTTTATTTATGAATACTGTTCGATCATTTATCGATAAATTGAATCATATCGTTGATTTTTCATCAAAAACTGACAGTTGACCCAAACCATGAAAGAACTGACGATTTGAACGCTTTACTTCTTTTTCTTTAATCAAACATTTTTATAATTTAACTATTATATTAACATGTTTAGTTTTTGAGAGATCGATATCAACTAATGAAAATCGATTTTAATAAACCATAGAAAATTGTCAAAGGTCGTCACGCCTCTTTCTATTCATTACGACTTCTAGCACATGACTATTTATGTAGTGTCATCTTTAATAAAAAATGAAACTTCGAAACTCAGCGACAACAGTGAATGTGATTGGTACAAGCTACTTTAGCGTATTCACAGTATTGGGACAGTGCAATTTACAGAACAATCGATGAAGAAACATCGTTTAATTAAAGAAGTTGAAAAGCACAATCTTTACTTTTATCGATCAAAAACAATCATATATCTGATATACAAACATCTTTTTGACATTTATTATAGCAAAAAAAAAGAACTTTTTTGCCCCTTCAAATGTTCAAAAGCTGATAATTTTTATTATTTACATACTCGTATTCATACAATTTTCGATTTTACTTTATTCTATTCAGTTCAAAAAGTCAGACGTATGGTTGTGCAGATAATTTATTTTGAAAAGCACAATTTACAAATGTCGACAAGTTGTTGGCTTACCTTTGAAATAAACGATCTTTTTTTGCTAAATGGCAAAAATTGATTTTGTTTGATATAAAGTATGTCTGTGTTGAGAGAATGAGAGAGATAATATTGATTACTCATCGTAAGAAATGATTGTCACACATAGTTGATGTACAAATAAACAATAGTTTGGCTTCTTATTGACTCAGCAATGCGAAAATAAATAGATAGGTGATTCTGAACTGTGTACATATGATGTCATCATTTGTCCAATAATCAGTATATCAATTTCTCTGATATTATTGTTTTCTCAAGATAATATTTCTTGTTCTGTGATGCAAACAATGATCAACAATACCGATCATGGAAAACCAATCGATTGAAGAACCATATTAATTTTTATTGTACTGTAAACAAGATATTTTTGATATTTGAAAGGAACTTGTCTTAGAATAAGAGCTGTATTGATTCTTGTGACTATCTGAAACAGTGGTGGATTCACGAAATTTTGAATGAGGTAGCGGATGAGAACGAATTATTGACGATTTTCGTGACGACTTTCTTAATGTTTTCTATTATGAAGTGTTCATGTATATGCTGTGATCTATAAAAAGAATAACAATTAGGAAACAAGTGATATAGAAAATTTTAGTTCTCTGTTTCAGCGTTAATTCAGGGACGGCGCGACCGGGAGGAGCGGGTAGGGGGGGTCACCCCCTCCTGCTGCAGAAAATTTTGGCTGGTACTTTCTCCGATTTCGGAGAATTTACTACGATAATTTCTTCGATTTTGGAGAATTTACAAAGCAATTTTCTCAGATTTTGGAGAAATATACGTGATAGTTTTCTCTAAATTCGGAGAAAATTCAAGTTTGGAGGGAATTTTTAGCCGATTTTCTCCGATTTTGGAGAAGTATATTATAAAATTTTGATTCGAGGAAATTTTCAGTTTAGAGAACACTTTTTGATTTTCTCCGATTTTAGGACTACCCCCTGCTTCGACCTCCTCGCGCAATCCCTGCATTTAACCAATAGTGGATAACATTATTGAACAATGCTCTATTGTTTTTACACAAAGCATAAGAGACATGGTAGTCGACCGATACACTCATAATCGTTTGTCTGACTATTATCTTCTCTTACGTATAAAAGTGTCCGATATATCCATAAAAATATAAGCCGTTCTTGTTTTTTGATCACTACTTTTTCTCATTTTTCTTTCAGATTAAATATCTGTTCATATTTTTGGTCAGTAAACGAAATGTCAAACGATAGTTTACTTTCGTATATGTCGGCTATTGCAAATGATCAATATGATGAGGCTATACGGGTTTGTTGTTATTACTAATTTTTGATACTATTCACCTTTAATAAAATTTTAAGATAGTGACCCGTGTTATTGACACATCAACAGATAAAAAACAAATTATTGATGGTTTAAAAAATAGAATTAAAGCTGCGTTTGAGAACAACGATTTTCAAAGTAAGAAATATGTTGAAACACTCAAATATAACAATCTTAATTTAACTCTTCGTTTAGTGGTCCTCAAAGATTGTAAACGGTTGAAAGATATTGATTATCCATTGGACAACGATAAACGTTTCTTAATGTTCATGTTGTAAGTCAACATGATTTTTTTTTTCGGTACCATCGATTTTATTTTAGTGAAGCTAAATACAGATTGCATCACGAACAGATGGTCGAGAAATTGAAAGAAATGTCGACTAAATGTAATTATAAAGTGACAATTAATGTTCATCAAATTGTTGCACATCGCATGTTTTCACAAGCGATTCAAAACTTATATCGACGAATCTAAGCTATAGCGAGAGTAACTGGTCAGATTGAGTTTCTTAATCGTTAGGAAGATGTCTATTTGGAATTATTCCTATAGTAAGTGTCGATTTGTTCAGAGTCTGGGCTAATAGAATGGAAGTAATAAATATTGATAAGATATTTTCAAAGTATTAAACATTTATTAAAGTTATCTGATATCAACATGAATAATTTTTTTATCTTTTAGAGAAATTGGTACTCTCTCTCGACAATCTTCATTTACGAAAACCAAGTAGTTTTTTGCGTTTGTAAACGTGCAACTTCTGTTCATTATACATTTGTTTTGTATTTTTGAAATAAATTGGTTTCATTATCGTAATCATAATCTTAAGATTACGAATAAAAAAAAAAGTAATCTGCCTAATACAGCGTGAAGTTTATAAAGAACAAACATTGTGTAGTATGTCAAGATAATAATTGTAAACTAATCAGTAGTGTAATGAAACTGATTATTTATTTGATTTGCATATTAAGTATGATCGCAGTTTTAGAAAAGAACACTTAGGATATTAATTTCTGATGTTGACAAATGTTGCTTACGATTAGCGACATATTAAACGTTTTGGTGACTATTAGGTAATAAATTCAGATGATCATATTTTTTATTATGATATTAGATTATTCTAATAAATATTTCCTCAGTGTTTTCTTTTCACTAATCCATTCATCGTTCGATCATGAATAAAAATAAGAGCAAAATGTCGTGTGCACATTCATCCGATGCCATTGCTTTTCCATTATAATTAACGAAACACGCATCTTCTCTTTTTGCATATATGGTAATTGGGTTTTTTCCATCTCTAAATCTTAGTTTCTCGTGCTAATCAATATACATACAGGTTGCGTCAAGCACCATTCTCGCATATCCCATCATTGAATAGATATGGTTTGTCCTAGTCTGTCATAATTTAATGATTGTTTTCTTTCTATCATATGATGATTAAGGTAGAAGAAAGAAGATCAGTGAATGACACAAAGCACAATCGATCATCTTTTTTTTGTTATTATTAGCTTTATATGATAGTACATGCAATAGTTCGTAAAAGGCAGCTAACATATTATAATAATGCTAAAAGATCATCATCAAGTACGACAAAGTTATGTCTATATTGAGGTTTGCTTGTATGTTGTCTGAATGAAATTAGTTATGTTAAAGGCGTGATCTTATTCTCACATCTCCATAGCGACATAAAGAACAACTATTTATCATTCATATCATGAAACAAGGGATTACGTCTAACAAATTTTACTCTCTTTTTGTCTACATAAAAACAGAAAATACTTTTGCTATAATCGACATTTCTAGATTCAAGAAACTAAATAATAAGATAAATAAATAAAAAGGCATTTTTAATTAACATACCTTCTGTAATTCGACGTACGGATGTTTTAGGTGAAATGAGAAATGAATTTCTAGAGAGACATCGAGCAATATTGTTATCATTTCGTTGAGGTGGTTGTAACATTGGTGTAAGATATTCAGCAGTACTTATTAAACCAAATTGTATCCGATTAACATCAGGTCGATTATACGTTCGTCTAACGCCATAGAGATTATTTAGAAATTATATTATCAATGTCAGATTTCTTTTCATTTTTAAACTATCCTGGACTGTTGTTACATATCCAAAAGACCCAAAATTCGAGGCCGACTAGAAAATATAGTACTATGACTAGTTTCCTACGTATGACAGTCACAAATACCAAAGTCTATACTTATTAATTATCTTAGACATTGTTCATATATCTAATAAACATATATTAATGACTATTCACATGAAATTACTTAATCGAAATTTTGTTTTCAGTATAGGTTCTAGCCTAAATCGATATTTTTGATAACTATGACTCAATCATTATGTTAGTTTCACATCTCATCTTCCTTTTGGGATATATAGTTCAAGATTTTAACACTAGAGATGTACAGGATCAAGTTTTTTTTTGGTTCCAGTGTAGTGAAATCTATTCTAGAATTTATTCGTATCACATCTAAAATAATTCTTCAATACTCATTTTTGATTTATTTAGTCGGCAGCTAGCAGTTTTTGAGTCATCTCTCTTAAATTATGTTCTGACTCACATGACTTATCATAAGATAATTTGCTTAACACCATAGAATATTTTACTATAAACTTGAATTCCTGTCCCGACAAATTTTTTCTCATGGTTCTGCTCCTAGTTCCGATCTCAGCGACTGAAACCAAGATCAGGATCGAGACTGGTCCATATATGTAAAACTTGAAACTTGAATTCAAGTTTCAATTTTCAACTTTCAAGTTTGACACTACTGCCGTCATTTAAACCTATCTAAAACAGAGTGAATTCATGAATATATTGCCGAAAAATGTAAAATGTAGAATGGCTTTGTAATGCTTGATAAAGAAAGTGTAAGATTTCATGATTTCGATGGAATTCGAACTATTCTCTTTTTAGACGATATCTTTAATCTCGCTCTATAAAAGTGTCTATTTCAGTGAATTATCTCGATATCTATTTCGTATAAATAGATCCAATTTACAAGGTGTGGGTGTTATTTCTCTTTTACCACCCCCACACCCACAAAACGTCTTTGATGGCACCAGTATTTTGTGTAATTGTGATTCCAGAAGTAAACATCTTTTCTTAAGTTTTAAATGTTCTTTATGTTCTTTTTCAACCAGTTTCTGTTTATTGGAAATAATTCTTCTTTTTGTTTGACTGATACTTAGAAATGTTCTATGATTACGTTCAAAATTTTTTGTTTGGCATCCTAGAACAAGTGAAATTATTAATTTTGTTTTAAAACATTTACAACAGACTATGTCTACGACTGTTAAGGCACAAAAAAAGCAGTATCATAGATTCAAACAAAAATTCGTATTCTGATAGATGATGGCACCCAATAATGAATACAAAAGTATCTTGTAGTTTATATTTTATAAAGACAGAAGAATATACTTTTTCAGTTTGATTGTACGTCTTCGTCCCCATGCCCTGTTGTGAAATCTAATAAAATTACAAAGATTCTTTTATTTTTTATAAAAAAAAACAATTACAATACATGTTTGCATTCATCGTGAAACATGAACTATAAGACTATCCTAATGTTGATTAGTGGATTGAAAAAAATAAGAATTGTAGCAATAGAAGTTAAGCAGTTGGATAAATACTTTTGAAGTTTTCGCTTTGGAAAAGATAGTAAACGAAATAAGAATGTACCTATCTACAATGATGACTTAGTGGATATATATGAATGAATTGGAACTTTTTTGGTACAATTCGCGCAAATATCTGATACTACCCCTAACCAATTCCTAATTAATATTTTCTATTGCATTCTATGCCTTTGTACTACAGCAAAAGTTTTTCAACAGTTTACCGCATATCAGCCGAAACATGTCTTACTTCAGTGTAAGAATAACGTGAAGAACGATTTTTTTCTAATGGAAAAGTCAGTTGTTGTTCACTGAATTTCTTTGCATAAAAGTAGTTTTTAAATTACAGTTAATGTTTGCAATAATAGTAGAATAAACTTTCAAAACGAAACGAGTGCAATGATATACGTTGCAATCCATGTCGACTGCCTACTGCTTGAAGTATCTATTAAAAATGTCGTTCTACAAACCATAGTAGTCTGCGTAAATAACTCTCTGATACTATTATGTTTTCAATGAGAATCAATATTCGGAATAAAAATAGAGAAACACATCATCTCAAAACAAACCACATGGTATAAAATATCACTGATACTGACACGCTTCTAGTTAAAAATTCACATGAAAAAGGTCGTGCTATACCTTTTATCAACAAAGGTCGTTCCGCATTATATTGTATAATGTAAATTTCTCAAGAATGATAAGCCATAGATCAATGAAGTTTTATAAATGCTTATGTAACTCAGAAAAATATACCTACGATAAAAACTTAAGCAAAAAATATGATGAGTTGTTCGAAAGTTATCAGCACCTAAATTTTCAAAAAGTTGTTCTACAAAATGAGTCAAACTTGAGTTTTTTTGAAATAATCGACTTTTTTGCGTTAAATAGCGAAGTTATTCAATAAGACTTTTCACTCATTTTGTTCGCATCTCAATAATGTTACTTTTCTTCGACTTTGACACAAATGAAACAAATTTAACGATCAGGCTGTTGTGCATGAAAATAAAAAAAATGTTCGTAATTAAGTGTTTCGGGCGAATGAGTGTGAAAAAAGGAAGAGAGAAATACAAAAAATATATTATTTAATAGAGCAATTAGGACTGTACAGAATGGACTATTGACTTTATTTCTTCTCTCTTACTATACTTTTAAAATATCCTTCTTTTAGAGAATCTGCATTTAAAATACGATTTTTTCATAATGTAACACTTATGAATCCTTGAAGATGACAGCTAGAGAGCCGAAAATCAGTATATGAGGCAATCAGTGAATAATAATATTTTGACAATTTTCCGAATTAGTCAACAAGAACAAAAGTTAATCGGAAACACAGCTAAAGTCACAATTGTACCCAAAAGTTGTAATTGTCTCATAGGTACAAATATCAGACATACAGCGGATGAAGATAAATCGATTGAGAAAAAATGCATAATTAAACCAACTAACATTGTTTCCGAGTTGCCTATCCGTCTTTCTTTCACTTCATACGAATCATTAAAGTACAGACAATATATTCTATCGATCCTTCGATAAAATTAAGTGTATAATACTGATCAGCAATAACATCAATCTATAGAAAAACCATCATATACTTTACTATTATTAGAGCCATTGTTTGAAACATTAAGTCAATGATCATTAATATATTCAAATTCGAGTATGACTAATCATCTAACATCATATCCAACAAATATATCATCAATGCCAACACCTATGGGAGTGAGAATACTGCTAACAATCCATCATATTCATATTCATAGAGATATCCACAAATACAAATTCTTCAAGGTGTTTATCGAGATTCTGTTCAATCAGCTGTTTTAGATAGACTTCGAATTTGTTTAGCTGAAATTAAACAAATAGATTCACTTCAACGAACTGAACAAGATTTAATTAATGATGAGAAAAAAATTGAATTATTCATTAATGATGCACAATAACAACAAATTCAAACACAAGTTTGGCTTGTTTTTAGAATTAAATAAAAAATATGAAAGCAAATACTAATGAGATATTAGAAGCTACACAAAAAATGTCATCATCATCATCAAGAAAATGAAATTCTGTTAAAGAAGATGCTCTTATAACTCCTGCACTTGTTTATAAACAGTTAATCATTTTTCTTTTGCTCACTTTATTTACTTTTTGTCTTTTTTGCTTTTTTGTTGTAAATAGACTTTTACAAGTTTATACTGAAGAACATGCTATTCAAGATTTATTATTTTATCTTGCTGATGGACTTCAAAGAAAATCTATTGGATTAGATACTTATTTAAAAGTTTGCTTCTTTTTGTTTTTTTTAGCATGTTACAGTGAGGGCTCAAAAAAAGCATGTACATTTTTGTTTTTACTCATAAACGAATAATAAGGCTACTTTGAAAATTTTCTCTCATATCAGACTTTGTAGAGCTTTTTTTCGCTGATCATTTTGGTAAACAAATTTTTTGATTTTCATTGA